CCTCTACTCTGCTCTCATGAGCCCCTGAAGAGCAGATACATGGAATACCTATGGAATATGACAAAAAATTGAAAGCGAAGAGATATGGAAGATATTCCACTACATTATCTGATGCAAATATTTAGAGTTGATCTAACTAGGACCTTTTCTATAAAATTCTGCTCAGTTTTCATTTGAACCTTGTTTGAAATTCCACCTCCCCAACATCATGTCGGTTTTCTTATTAGTAAATCTGACAAAGCAACCCTCATCTCTGTAGGCCTGCGGAAGTAGAATTCAAATTAACATGCCTTGAACCGGCAGTTCAGTTAAATGCAGGTAATTTTTGAAACAGAAAAACGTTACCTACCATCTAGCTCCTTCTCGATGAAATCCATTCTGTGTATGACTTCATCCTGCAGAGATTCCACATGAGCTAAAAGATTAAGCTGCCATTGCAGCTGCGAGTTCACAACTCCTTCTTTGTCTTTTTCCAGCAATTTCATTTCAATAGCTCCCTCCGGAGAGACTTTCTTAGCAACAGACTCTCTTACCTAGCAGAAATGCACACATTAGTATTTGTTACAGTGAAGTGGAATTGGTTAGCCAGACTGTCTGGGTCCTTACAGTTACCCAGGCTAACTGCTCAACTGATCTTAGGCCACCGAAGGACAGGGACACAGAAGAGATCATACACAAATATGAAGGCAGTTTGGGAGGATCTGAACACAGAGAGACTTTTATAGGTATTTTGCCAAGATCTATTCTTTGTACTTCGCAAGCATCTGATTTTCAAAAAGCGAATATATATACAGGTAGCTAGCTCCCTGCCAACTTCCTGCTGGAAGATACTGCACTCTGCAGCCCAGGGAACACTACAGCCATTTCTGACATGACAGCAATCAAGTAAACGATGAAACAGCAAATGATTTTTCAGTGCGAAGGGATTTCTCCCGTGAGAATCTCATCTCAATTCTCCTAAAAATTTCACTGAAGCATCTAAAAAAAAAAAATCCCCAAAACCACACCACAATTACTGCCACTTATAAAACATGACTGCGCTGCCAGCAGTGTTGATTCCACTCCCCTACTTTTCATTCTGCTGAAACACAACAGGGTTTAGAAAAAGGCTCCTGAAAGACTGAAGAACTGAAACACATGACTTTTGGGAAACATAACATAATTGATTTGGTAGAGAAGTTAAGAACCATAAATTATAGCTTACATACATATGAAATCAAAGCTAAACCATCTTCTAACCTAGAAGGGAAGATCAGTGTTTTGCAGAGGCAAAATCTGCCAGAAAATCTTTCAGAAATATGGTCTGGCAGACCATATTTCATATGACTTGTCACTATCTAAATGAAGCAAAACTTGCACTGGGGTGCAGAAACACCTATGATAGACCTGATCGAGCTGAGTATGAGAACCGAGCGTGGAAAAGATAAAACTAGAGTGGCTCCAGTAGGAAGAAGATTCAGGACTATTCAATGGTGATGATTATTAAAGAATCAGTTCAGGCTAG